TGAGTCACAACACAACATTCAAAGCAAAGAGTGACTACTGAAAAAAATGCCAAAAGGACCAAAACGATGTACTCAAGTTACAAGGGAAATAACTGTATATGAACGAAGCATTGCAAATGATGCCATTGAAACAATGGTATCCTATAAATCTATTATAAAAAGTCCTTAATTAAATGGACTGCATTTATATAGCGCTTTCACAGACCCAATGGCCACCAAAGCGCTTTACAATTTGCCTCACATTCACCCATTCACTCTCTCATTCATACACCGACGGGCGACGGCAGCCATGCAAGGCGCCATCCAGCTAAAGAATAGCATATAAATTCTGCTAGATTTTGAGAGAGCAGTGAGACTGACTCGGAATAACAATTAGATTCGGGAATTCTGCAACGTCGTTATTTTATTTACATTAAGTTGTAGTGGGCAATGATTTTGAGTTTGAGTTTACTCATCTGTGAAGAGTTCTCAACCAAACATTTACTATCCCTTTCTGTAAAAACTGAATGTAGAGACCTCGATAAAAAGGGCCATTCCATTAGAGAAAGTGACTACTGTATGAAGCTTGAGAGACCTAACCCTCTTGAAAAGTCAACACTCTCTTCAGTCTCTCACATCTGTTGATTGTGGTTTGCAAAGCACCTTTCCAGAGAAGAGCGATGTATTTGTAGGCGTCCAGTGGGTGGACTAATCAGTGGGTGGACTAATGCATAAGCTCCAAGTGAGGTGAGAGTACGGTGCAAAGAAAATGCATTACATGCAGAACTTGTCATTTCTACAAAGTTTAATGCTAGAAAAGAGACTTTGTGAACTCATTGTTTTATGAATAAATCTGATTTCGAGAAATACCTGCTGCATTTATACTATTCACAAGTCAACATTGAGGGAATTACACAGAAAGGTATAAAAAACTACAGTCGGCCAGAACATAAAGCCAATGGTTTCCAGTTACACTGATTAAATACATTACACCAAACCCAATATGAGCAGTTTCTTGGCACTAACTCTTGGCAATGAACGGTTTCCATAGACCATAAAGTCAGTTCACCGAGAGTGTACGTTCTGCAGGCAGCAATATGGGGATCTAACATGACAGGAGACCATTTAATTTTACAATAACAAATACGTTTTAACTTTTTGTGTGCTTCACATAAAGAAAAAAAACCCTTATCTTTCTTCATTTGATCATATCCCATCAATCCTTAAAATAGCACTAACAATTACGCCAATAAGGAAGTTTCCACAGTACTAGGCTACTTATTAATGAATCAAACCAATAACATCAAAGTAGCTTTTAGTGTCAAAGTGCAAATCAAGTTAGATCAAAGGGAATATAAATCACAACAATTATGTAAGTCTAATGGCTTTAATATCTCAGAAACATAGAAGTAATAGAAAGAAAAAAAATTCTGAAGAAAAGGCAAGTGCCTGGTGCTCACTGCCACAACGCTAAGATGTTCCATGGTTTCCAGGGTGTTGCTATGCAGTTGCTAAGATGTTCTGTGTTGCTATATGGTTACTTTGCTCTAGATGGTTGCCAACATATTGCTATGCAGGAAACCTTAGCATGTTGGTATATGGTTGTTAAAGTGCTCTGAGTAGTTGTTGCTTGGGTGTTCTGATTGGGTTTTAGGCCATTGCCATATGGCTAAAATATTCGGTGTGATTGCCAGGGTGTTGCTATGCGGTTGCTATGGTGTTCTGAGTGTTTTTAGCATGTTGCTATACAGTTGATAGGGTGTACTGAGTGGTTGTTAGGTGATTTAAATTTTAGAGCATTGTTGGTTGTTACTACAATCTAGATGGTTTCTAGGGCATTGCTATGTGGTTCTGAGTGCTTTTAGCATGTTGTTACGATTGCTTGGGTGTTCTTGGTTGTTTCCAAGGAGTTGCTGTTTCTGTGTCCTGATTAATTGATATACATTTTCTAAGGTGTTCTGGGTGTTTGCTTAGTGATCCGCCCCACAAGTCTCTACGATATTCTGGTCCATTTAATGCAGGTCTATGGGATTTTATAGTTTGGTGGGTTGCCTATCCTGTATCACTCAAATCCCATAACAAGTCCTGAGAGGAACGAGTAACGTGCTGAAGTTTAATAAGTTTTTAGGGGTTGAACAAACCTTTAATCCAACATTATACGAGCAATAGTAATAGTGATGTTTGTCCTCCCACACAGCACTAACAAGTTGGGGACATTGGACAAAAAGTGGTCTTTAAGTAGGCTACACTGGGTTTTGATAGATCCAGCTCAAACTCAGCAGGCTTCGGGCTTCTTTGTCTCTGCCACTTAACTTTAAGACCATTGACGCTCCCTGTGTGTGTGTGTGTGTGTGTGTGTGTGTGTGTGTGTGTGTGTGTGTGTGCTGCTGCCATATCTACCGTCCATGCAAATACTGTTGCGCTCTTTATGTTTTATCATTTAAAAGTCTCAGGTTAACGCGCAGTTGCTTGGCAATTGACCCAAACATGAAACTTATTTTTTATTTTTTTATTAATCGAGGCTCTTGTTCCTTCCTCCCTTAACCCTTAAGATAATTTTAAGTCTTCAGCTCAATTATCCGGTTTACACTCTGAATAAAACTTCAATCCTGTTTTCTTGAGCATCGATGCTCTGAGTTCATGCGGCACGCGCTTTTCTGTTTAACTTACGACCACGCATTCTGCAACAATAACTAAAGTAAGTTAACCGTGAAACCGTTCAAATTAAAATAAAAATGATCACTTGCGTCTCTTTCTTATACATTTGACTCAATTAATGAATAAGTAAACGTGCTGCAAATAGAAGTTTAATTAGCAACCCAAAAGATTCATCCGGAATGAAAAAGCAAATTTTAAATGAATGAAAACATAACTTGCCTCAGCTCTTGATTTAAAATATCCCTTTTAATCCACCTTTGAAGGCAAAGCGATATCCCGCTCTAAATAAATTGGGAAAGATGATTCGCGTGTTGCCTTCCCGGCGCTTTTGTCTGTGTATGTCCCGTGAGCAGTGTGGGACGCGTCTCTCGTGCAGTGAAACTGACTGAGACTAGGCTACTGCTGCTCCATGAGCACGGGGAGTGGTGACTGGAGTCCCACTGTGATAATCACCTTATCCCAGAAAAACGCCCATCTCCTCCAACCCCTTTGAATGAACTGCCACAACTTTCGGTGAGCAAAAAACTAGCTGCAACACTGCCATCATGCGTCGTCTTGATGAAATTGCACCACTCATATTGAACCAGAAACTTTAACTCATCCAACACACACTACCACTTAAAATAGTCAGTTAAAAGTTTGGGAACACCTATCGTTGTTTATTAGGCTAATATTTTCTCCATTTTTAATTTAACAGTAAATAGTAAGCCATTAAATCTATATATATATAAAAAAAAACATAATGGAAGAACAAATTTAATTATGCTGCTAACTAGAGACTGTAATGTAAAATAAATAGAATTTTAAAATGAAAACAAACAAACAAAATGTATGCTAGCTGGACACTTGTTGCTGTTGCTGATTGGGACAATAGTATCCAACTGCAGAGCCGAAGAGCCAGAGGCAGTTTCAGGACAGCCGCGCCAGGCCAGCTCTCTCAGACCGAAAGTTAGTGTGAAGATTATACCCAGATAGCAAATTACATCTGGCTTAGTTGTGGTCCACATCTCCCACATTCTTCTGGCCCATTTACCACATGGAATGACGGCGATGACTCAATCTGATGTATGGCTGGTAATAGCATACACACCCGGGCCTCATCTGGGCCAATTATGGCACAAAAGGCTCAGTTCTGGCAGCGGCAAAGGTCATATGGGCCATATCTGGCCCACACACATCAAGCCGGTTTTAGTGTGAGTTGTGGCTTGCTGTGTATGGGCCAGATACGGCCCATATGACCTTTGCCACTGCCAGAACTGAGCCATATGTGCCATAGTTGGCCCAGATGAGGCCCTGATATGTATGCTATCTGGGTAGCCTCTTTAAGGGTAGTGGAGTCGGGTTAGACTCAGGATGCAATCAACTCCCTAGCCTCCTTGAACCAGTATACCAACCATGGTGTACACAAATTCGGGCACTGGACAGTAAGGACCTTGGCTCACTACACATTGGGACACTGATGGCCCTATTTCCGGTGGCATGACAGCATCATCATTGTAGGGATAGAGCCTAGTGAATCTCTGAGGCTTTTCCCTGCTTGTGAAAAGAAAGTCTCTGAGTATCGATTACAGGGCCATCTAGTGGTTAATAAAATGTACAAGAGCCTGTACTTGGAATGAAGCTTCACTGGATGAAGCTCTTACCTCATCATTGATGCATTTTTTTTTCTGTAGTGCACACATTAAAGCACAACAACCGTTTACCCTCTGATAATATATTTTAGGTACAATTTTAATTCATGCAAATAAAAGTCAATATTAGTTAGTGTAATATTGCACTGCTTAACTCTGTTGTGGGGGCCCAGTAAGCTAGTAATTGATAGCTTTTTATAACTGAAAGAGTTGTATATGGCATGTTTTTGACATACAGTTATTTGTATAGTAATAACATATTATTTATTCAGCTTGAATAATGTAACGTCAAAAAAGTTCCAGAGGAAAACAACACCCATTTGCTTTTTTCACAAAGGTGGAAGAAAAATAAGAACATAACATTTAGTGAGACCAGGGGTCACGTGGTTATTAAATGTACTTTTGTAAATGTGGGAAACGGTCACTTTTTTAAATGAGAAATAAAAGCGGTTTGACTGTTTGGGCTGAGTCTATTTCTCCTCTTGAACAATACTTCCTCTTCCTTAGTGTTAGAACACTGTCTCACAGGGTAGGCCTACAGATAAGGCTGGCGTACACAAAAACCGCAATGGCATCAGATATAAACAGTTTACCCAATATTCCAGTGGGCTGTTTAGTCTCTTTTAGGTATCTTGAACTTTTATTTTGACGGGATGATTGGTGCACCACCTTTATCTGGACTGTGAAGGCGCTGTAGTGCGCCACAACAACGGAAACAACTGCTTGTTCTTCTACTTTCCCTTAGAGCAGATCCTAGTAGAAAAAGTACGTGATATGAGTAGTTTGACATAACTGATGTAAGTATGTCACATTTGTCAATGAAAGAGCAAAGTGGCTGTCGAAAACTGTTAAAATTATTACCCCTGGACGACTTGCTCGCCCTTAAAGATACAGTAACGAATCGACTGATTGCTGTAGAGAGCACACAAGGTAAGACTACTGTGAAACTAACCTTTTTCCAAACTGTTCTGTAAATATCGGCGATGTCTGGTGGCTAGAAAAGTGTTTTGGTAGGCGGCACACTAGATTTTGAGCAATTGTGACTTGTTTATTGTGAGCTGTGTATCTGTCAGTCTGTCACAGTCTATTTCCTGATCAACAGAGGCTATTGAAGCCATCATAACTTACTCAAAAGATGCTGAGGAGCTCCTCAAGAGAAAGAAGGTACACCGGGATGTCATTTTTAAGTATCTTGCCAATGAAGGAGTTGCCATGCCCCCTAATAGTGAGAAACATCAGCTGGTCAGCAGAACCATTGAGTTTTGGTCGTCTGTTGAGGTAGGCATCGAGACAGATATTTTTACACTGGGTGAATCTCTAAACACAATTTGTCAACAACATTTGGGTGATATGCATCGCAATCAACAGATTTGTTCCCCTTTGAAAAAAGTCTATTTTTTAGGACCATTGAGGGTTGTTATATTGTGTTCATATTATTTTTTATGATGCTTAAGTACATTTTTCCCCAATTATCATTGTTAATCTAATTTAAATTACTATTTAATTTTACTTTACAATAAAGTATTTATACATCATGATAGAGCTTGAAATAAAAAAGTATAATTGAATTACAGTGCAATAAATTATAATATGTTGTAATAATTTGTTTATTTATTTATTTGCTTGCTTGTTATAATGGGTAGTTGACATTAAATACTTTTTGGAGGTTGAATGACATCCTGACATTATATGCTTTATTTTAAAGTACCGTACTCAGAATTTTCTAATTCTATTATTATTAATAGTAGGCCAGGCCTATTAGTAATATTTTGCATTTAGATTTGTACTTTTGAAAGTTTATTTGTTTCTCTGTGGGGCCATTTAAATGATCCGGTGAATGCAAGAAGGTGAAGGTGATTTTAAAAAAAACTACATATGTGATGAAGCAAAGAAACCATTTTTTTTATGTATATATTTAGGTTATGATTTTTAGCCTTAAATCATAAGGTTGGATAATGGATGCATTATGAGTCAACTACCATAATACAGTTAAAAATAGCTCTATATTACAGAAGGGGTTTATCATCATGAAAATAGCGTTATGCAAGAAATTGTAATGTTCCTTAAACCGATAACATTGCCTTTATGCAATATTTGATTGATTGATTGATTTTAGTGTGTAATGTGGCTTGGACATGTTTTCTTGAGATTGGAAAGTTTGGAAATGCTTGATTTTATCAGTTATTTTTTTCAACTTAAAGGAATAGTTCACTTAAGAATTGAAATTTCCTGATAATTTACTCACCCCCATGTCATCCAAGATGTTCATGTTTCTTCAGTCTAAAAAAAAAAAAAGGTTTTTGAGGAAAACATTCCAAGATTCCAAGATTTTTCTCCATATACTGGACTTCAATGGGAACCAACAAACCGTTGGTCCAAATTGCAGTTTCAATGCAGCTTTAAAGGGCTCTACACGATCCAAGCCGAGGAATAAGCGTCTTATCTAGCGAAAAAATTGCTCGTTTTCTGAAAAAATATAATATACTTTTTAACCACAAATGCTCGTCTTGCACTAGCTCTGCGATGTACCACGGATTATGTAATCACGTTGAAAGGTCACGTGTGACATAGGCGGAGGTACAGACCTAGTGTTTACAAAGCGAACGTGCAAAGTAAGTCAAACGCCATTTACAAAAATAAATAACAGGTAAAACAGCGATGTCAGACGATTTTGAAGTTGGAGGAAATTTTCAGGCAAATTTTTTAAATTATCAGGAAATTTTAATTCTGAAGTGAACTAATCCTTTCAGAGTTGAATTGTGCTTGAATGGAATATCATCCTTGAAAATGCTTGATACTTGTTGTTACAAGAATAAGGATAATTAGTAATAAGGATATCACTTGTGTATCTCAGTATTTTTTGAATAAACGTTAAATAACACAGCCCATAGAACACCACTAAAGCTGGGATTCAATAGAAGTTTATGAGCAAAAGCTAAACCATGGCTTTCAATAGGGCAAAGATCGATGTTTATTGAACATGTGGGTTTAAACACGTAATTTTTGCTGTGATTTTTGAGTGATATGTGCATATGGCTGGCATCTGATTAAACATTAAACATTGAGCTTTCAAGCACTGTATTTTGTCCCGCCTGGAAGCTCAGCTTATCTATTGATAATTGGATGAGGTCTTAAAAAGGCAGAACTTTGCCATGAGCGACCAATACAATTAAACCTGTGACATACATGATTGACAGCACTTGTAATTTAAAAAATATTTGCTGTACATGGTGTTGTAATACGTCTTTCTCTCTGTGTGTTTAGACTTCTCTTCTAAAGTGTTTAGAAGTAAACTTGTGTTCAAAGGTTTGGGGTCGGTAAGCTTTTGAAAGAAGTCTCTTATGCTCACCAAGGTTGCATTTTTATGATCAAAAAAGCAGTAAAATGTAATATTGTGAAATATTTTTATGATTAAAAATAACTTTTCATTTTAATATATTGTAAAATGTATTTATTCCTGTAAAAGCTGACTTTCCAGCAGCCATTACTCCAGTCTTCAGTGTCAAATGATCCTTCAGAAATTTGCTCTATTATGATTTAATATTCCAGTAAATCTTTTGTAATCAATATTTTTGTCCTTGCCGCATTAAAAGTATTAATATCTTTCAAAAAATAAATAAATCTTACTGACACCAAACATTTGTGTAATTAAGTAATTTCCCTTAAGAAATAAAACAGCTTCCCCATTTCTTGAAAAGCACCGGCTGCCACTGCTTGAGAAATCTGTATGAACGCTGCATTGAATATCACTTGTGAAGTTAAGGTTTTATAGGTTGTATTTTGACCTGGTCCATATTTCAAACAGATCTCAAGGCATGAGAAGAACACAGTCATTACAGATGAGGTTGGAGATGGTCTGTCAGACCTTGCAGCTTTGGGAAAACAGTTTTGCCAGTGGTTCTACAGCCTTCTGAACTCTCAGAACCCCAGTCAAGGGCCTCCGGTGCAGGACTGGGGTCCTCAGCATTTCTGGGAGGACGTGAGACTTCGACTTCTCTTATGTACGGGAGAGCAGCGTGTAGATGAGTTCAATGGGGCACAGATGGTCAGCCAGCGGCTACATGCTCTTGCAGGAGAGGAACGTCTGTTGTTCTGCCCAAACTTGGAGGGTTATGGGTTGAAGTGTGTATCTTCAGCTCATGGACTGGTGATAGTTGCCGTAGCTGGAACCATCCACCGTGACAATGCCTGCCTTGGGATTTTTGAGCAAGTGTTTGGGCTCATTCGCTCACCAATGGACGACAATCGCTGGAAAATAAAGTATGTATATATAAAAGTAGAAGCACAAGGTGCCATCACAGAGAGACAGTTACCACTTATTACATATGATTCAAAAGAGTTGCTGAGGTTTTGTAATTGAGAGTCAGAGATCCTTGTGAGGACATTTTTTTTTCGACAGTGAAGAGATAAACTGGGTTAAACATGGAGGATGTAATGTTCTGTAAACCACTTTATTGTGGGATAGATATTTATTTATAAAAGGATCTTAGTTTGCATTTTTTGTTGACTTAAAGGACAGTTTCCAGTCAGTTTGACCCCTAGCAAACCTCAACTCAATTTATACTAAGGTAAGATTTCTGTAAAATGTAATATTTCAGTAATTTTATGAAAATTATTGATCTTGGCCTTACACAATTTTTTAATTTATAAACAAAATGTGTATAAAAGAAACAATAAATTTGACTTTTAGTAATTTTAGATCATATATTAAATAAACAAATAAACAAAAAATACCACTTTAAGATGGCAGTCTTACTTTTATATCTTGATTTATTGTTTAATATAGAAATCCTAATTTAATTTATACAATAATTTTGTGTGAGGGCTATTTTTAAATTCACACTCAGAATGTCCTTGTTGAATTTGTATTATGGCCAAAATCAAATATTCCAATTTGAATTGTCTCATGTCATTTTATTTTCTTCATTTTTTTATTATTATTATTATTGGTTGGCTAGAATTCAAACTGTCTGGAGTGTTAGAATCGTCTTAAGATTCCACTTAAAATACCTTAAAAAAAACATTACTGTATTTTTAAGTACTTTTATCAATACTTGCATCACTTCCCAGTAAAATATTTGCCAAGAAACATCTCTGTGCCTCATGGCTTTTAAAAAAAAATTTTTTTTTTAATTTGTGGCTCAATCCACATCTTTATGGATCTTGGGAAGAACTTCTTTTTTTTTATTACTCCTCCTAATCATTTCCACATAATATTAATAATTTTGTATAGCAGTGGCGTTACATTCACTCATTCCCATATAAAGGCCTCATGATCATCAGCTCTGTTGCTTTATTGCGGAAGGAGCAATTACACTTTTCACTCCTTACTGGAATAAAGTACCTTTTGTGGGGCTTGCGAGGCTAGAAGCGAGTTCTTTGACTCATCAGGCTCTAATTGGGCAGTAGATGAAGCTGCATTTCTCTCTGGAGGAATATGGAAGTGAATATGAGCCGGGCTGGGAGGGGTGTTTACCACAGCAATGTGTGGTTTCAGTGGGGAATGTTATATGTGGGAAATTATTCTTGGCGTTCGCTTCAAAGACTGACGCTTCGATAATATCATTTCTTGAGCTGTTTTTTAATGCCACGGAGTGCCATAGCTGTGGCAAAAGACGGCACCACAACCATTGATCTTTTTCCTGTTCACCTCCCCGAAAGAAAAATAACAAGCTCCTCGCCTTCTGTCTTTATAGCCGTGGCCTCTTTCTTTTTAATAAGTGGTTTGGCTGAGCTCACAGTTATGACGTGCAGGTTCAAAAATACAGTTCACTGGCGTCTGCGGATCATTGCGACTTCAGATTGTCTTTAATGGAGAAGTGTGTTTCTCATAAAGCCCATGTTAACGTCTTGATGGTAAATCTCTCAGATATGTTTTGGAGTGGTGAACAATGAACTTTTTTTAATTGGCGAGTCTATTTTTTTGGTTGTTACGTTTAAATTATTGCTTTAAAGGTTAGAAAATAGCACATAAGGTCTTTAATGTGTTCTCTTGTTTATGGCCTTTATAGGCGTATTCAAATTGAATGGCTGTGCTATGATTAAAACGTCTCTCTAGACATTCATTCACTTATGAATCTATTTCATAGTGGAACTAAAGTGAATTTAGAAGTTTGGGCTAAGCACTTTTGCCATGCTGTATAGAACCAACTGTTTAAACTTAAACTATAAGCTTTTTTAATTACTAGGACAATTTACGCAATCTAGTTTATCAAAGAGTGGCACAATAAATCATTTAACCGCTGCAAGGTTAACTCAATTACAACACCTACAATCTTATTCGTGAATGACAAGCTATGTCCATTAAACCGTTGACAAGTACTATTACAGCAAACATTCAGATCTTATTTTGAATAAGTAATTACTTCATGACTGCTATAAAAGTACATTCTATATAGTATAAATGTGTTTAGTTTGAATGTAATCTGGAACGTACTACATCTGCCATGTTGTTATTATCATGTGACCTACAGCAACACTTCACTAACATTAACAAATTCTCTCCCGTGGCCTCATGGGATAGTAAAGTGTCCATTATATGCACACTTCAGAATCCCAGAATCTCTTTTATGAGTACTGTGAATTCGAACATGCTTCTTTTGTCACATATACTGTTTTTGCCATATAGGAAAGTATGTGATTTCAGATGCAGGCAGAGTTCATTTGAATGTAGCTTGACGCTTCAAATGATTGTATCAATTATTCCAGTAGGTGGCAACAAGTGACTGTTAAAAATGTATTTGACATCGAGTCATTAGTTCAAGAGATTCAATCAAAAACGCTGATTCATCCAGTATGAAACAAGTGTACTGTAAAATAAAGTGTTACCGAATATTGTTTCGTTGTATTAATTTAGCTGAAATTTGTATCCTTTCTTACAGGGACAGTCCCTCTGGTATAGCTGAGCTCCAGAAAATCAGTAATGAGGTGGCTTTGACAGTTACAGATTTGAAAAACAAAAGGCGGAAATAAAGAACCCTGAACTCTTACACAAAGAACCATTTTAGCATATAAAGGGTTCTTCATACAGTTCTAAATAGAACCGTTACTACGTTAAAAGAACTTTTAAAGAACCATCTTTTTTGTGTGTATTTTGAATCATTTATTTAATATGATTTTTAATGACTTTAATATTTTAATGTTATACATTAATAATAATCATCATCATAATAATAATTTTTTTTTTTAAATAGACTGCAGCAATTAACATTTTGTCATTGTTGTCTATTCAGAATCTTGAGACAATCGTGATTTCTATTCGATTTCTAAAAAGATTTTCAACTGATCCAGAATCGTGCAACTCTAGTGCATCAGCTTGTTACAGTGCTTGGACTTTGCTGGTCTGCTATAGCCTATTTATCACAAAATCAATGAAATGCCCACATGGGGGCACAATTGCCCCATTATTTGTGTCAAATTCAAGAGGCAAAGCAATTATTTTAGGAAATCAATTTGTTTTATGCAACTCCCAATGTTTTATAGTGCTGTTCATGTACCAAAGTGTACATTTTGAACTTTATTGTTGATTGCTTGCTTGTAAATCAATCTCATCCTAAGTGTATTGCAAATACCTAAATTATTACTTTTGGAAACAATTGGATGAAGTATATTAAAAGTGAACATTATTTATTGATGTATTTGACAATGTCCTTAGTAAAAGAGGGGTGGGGAAGAAATACAAAAACTCCTTGAACCAAGTAATCCATCTATTAAACCTTTGACAGGCCAGACAAATCAATTGGTTAATTCAATGAGTTACTGTTTGAAGTCCGAGAGACCCTCATCCATAAGAATTACAGACGGCATTCATAGTGCATCAGTGTACTGTGGCGTGTTTATACATGTGGGAAGGACAGAACCTGAAGACGTGATCAACATTTATCATCTGACCTCTGTTCACTTGTACACTAGTCTGTGGAATGTTGCAGGGATCAAAACAAACTCCCTCGTATGAAGTGCAGGCGGATTGATTTCAATGAGAATGAGTTTATTTTGCTTCTGCCATCGCTGACCATTTAAAAAACTTTTTTCCATAAAGAGTAAAGAGCCAATCTGAGGAGTTAAATGTCATTATTATATTATTTTATTTTGTTATATTATATTTATCTTAATATTAAATTGATCTGTTACCAAAATAGGGTTTTTTTTGTAGTTATTGATAAACCACGTTTAAATTTAAGAGAACATTTGTTTGATTCTTTAAAAAAATAACAGGATTAAATGGTTGAGCTTGTGAAATGTAGTCAACATTACATGCGTAAAATAATGATTTAAAAAAAGAATGAGATTTATTTCTTTGTTTTCTCACCATGCTATAGAAAGGGTCCCAATAATATTTCTGTAATGGATGAAAATTATGCAATAGCATGTTGCAAAGCTAAACAAAGTTAATAATAATCAAAACAAAGTTTTACTACAATAAATTTAAAATACAACAGATTACAATGTCATGATATTGTATAATTGTATTCAGGGGCGTCGGACTGGGGGTAAAACCAGTACTGATTACCAGGGCCCTAAGGGGAGAGAGGGCCCTTGAAAAGTCTGGAATATATTTAATTTGGAACATGGGGGCCCATCAGGACTGCCTATACATAGGGCCCGGGATCTTGTGCTACGCCCCTGATTGTATTTGTTGGATATTTTAATTAACTGTTGGAAAGAAGGTTATAAAGTTTATGTTTGAAACATTTTTTTACTTCTTGGTATATTATTAACTAACATGTTTTAATGTTACATAATAGTTTTTCTAACATAATCACTAAAAAAAAAAAAAAAAAAAACGGATTTTGTGTCTTATTTTTTCAAGCACTGATCTTTGTGGAGCGTGTTGAATATTAACCCTTTACTTCATTGTGGAGCTCTTTCACAGTTCTACAGAAGAGGCAGCGATGCAGAATTTGGGTTCCTCTGGTGCAGTGAATAAGCAGTTCACCGAACCCAGTAAAACTGTTGACAAACGAAATAATTCAAGTGATGTTTAATGACCTTTACATCATGCACTTTAATGTTTACAGCACAACAAATCAATCCTCTCAGAGCTGAAGGTGGTCTGTCAGAATGTCCTTTTTGAAGTATTTGGACACACTCTGTAATATGTGTACGAGGAGCGAGCGGCGGGTGTTAAAGAGGCTTGAGTGTGTCTGCTGATGGGGAAATGATCATGTTATCTGGAGTGCCAGCAGACTGTCAGGTTGGCTTTGGCTGCTGTCCTCTGGCTCTTCAGGACATCTGCTGTATCTGCATCTAAACACTGATCTCAGGCCTGCTGCTAGCCTGTGTATATTAATTGCCCTTGCCTCCTTCGCTGTTTGCCACTGATTACTCTCATTAATTTCAATTCCCCATGACCCTCTCTCTCTCTCTCTCTCTCTCTCTCTCTCTCTCTCTCTCTCTCTCTCTCTCTCTCTCTCTCTCTCTCTCTCTCTCTCTCTCTCTCTCTC